ATCAAAAATAATAAATATGAGGCATTAACCTGAGAATGCATAATGATGCACAATTCACATTTTTGTAAACCCCTTCAAACATGCTTCCTTGAGAGTGGATTTGAATGTGAGAACCTTTTTTGACCATAAAGGATGTGTTAAGTCTCCACAACACATTACAGACCTAATACAATATTGGGAAAAGTTTAGAGGTAAGATGTTCCTGAGTAGAGGACATTATTCTTCCCCAAAGCCTTTTTCTTAAGTCTCCTCAAAAAGCCTCTTTCATTTCAGCCCCCCTTCCTTTGGTCATCAGCGTCTTTGTTGAACCACTGAGTATCTTCCAGCGTGCTGCTCAGGGATGGGATGGCCTCATCATTTGACTTCTCCTTCATCTAAAAGACACATTTCTATTTCAGATAACGTGGTGATCATGATTGCTTTTGCTCCTTTATGAGAAGTAGATTCCACTCACCTTTAAATTAACAATCCGTCTAACTTTACATTCTGTCCCCTTGATACGGTGAGGACCAGCCCAGTCTGCTCTGTCAGCTTCTTCTTTGGTAGAAAGCATCACAAAGGCCAATTTATTCTCCGGAGAGCTGGGACAGGCCTTGATCTTGGATTAGAACAAAGAACACAAATGTGAATCTTAATTGGATTATAGATATAAAGTTGTGTGTAATAAAGGACAAACTTAAAGCTATAAATGCATTTGTAAAATGTGTATTTGAACCTACATCGCACATGGTGATATTGCCCCATTGATTAAAATAGGCATGCAGATCTCCTCCACTGATATTGGAATTCAGCTCTGTGATGCAAAAGCCATGGTCCTGTTTAAATAGATAAAAACATTAAGCTCGACGATTACAATTTTAGCTTTAAATAGCTCCATTTAGCATTAGAAGAACATTACCATATCATAGTAGTGGGACAAGCCAGCCATATGGTTCTTTGAAAGACTTATGAAAACTCTTGATTGAGGTGCAGTCTCCATGTTTTCTGAAAAAAAAAAATAATGTGGACACGTTTTATGATTTGCTGCAAAAATAAAGATAGGCTAAAACCAACATACATAACTGGCAAACAAATATGAAATAAAGAAAAGGTTTCCCCTACCGTAGGTTATTGTCCAGGTGGAGATGTGAGAGATCAATGTAGAATACACGGCACTGCAGGCCTTATTTAAGCTGTCAGGGGCGGAGCAATGGGGTTGGCCATGACACAAATTTCCCCTCTGAAAAAACCTGTTTATCAGGGGCCTTTCTAAGGAGTGATTGAGCATTTAAAAAATGTTTGTCTTACAAGATCTGAAGTTTGTAAAAATGATTAGCTTGACACATTTGCAATTTTAAGATCTTTCTGTAAATTGAAAGGAAAGGCAATGGAACTCAACTAGGGTATGAAAAAAAAATCATGACACATCTAAGGCTCATCATGTGAATATGAATTGGGTATATATTTTAACACCTATCTCAAATTCGCACAAGTTTTCATGCAGATGTTACCAAAATTATTAAGTTCTCCATCAGAAAATAATGACATTTTAACACTGAAATATATCTATACTATGAATGTTAGAATGTTGTATCAAAATGTGAAATTTAATAAAAATGTTGTTCTTGTATTAAGAGGGTCTTTCCATAACATCAATGGGTACATTTGTTATTATATTTTTTTAGTACATAATCATAATTCATCATTTTTTTTACCAATTTTATTGAATACTGACACAACTAACAAAAATTTACTAGACATTTCATATTGTTCAAGCTACCTGTGACTCTGATATAACAATATGTTTTCAGTGCAATCCCATAAACAATGAGAGTGACACCTTGTCATTTTAAATGGTTGGTTATGGTTGCTTTTAAAGGAATAACAAAACTTTGCTTTTTGAAGAAAACCTCAAAATAATCCATGCTTATTGGTATAATGTCTGTCTACCTTGTTATAAGTATTTTACATAATGCTCCCATGTTTCTGTCATCACATCCTCACCACCCTGGCATATTGACCATCTTTGAGATGGGTTCTATTTAAGTGATAACTTAAAAGTGCGCATTCAGCTCGACAAAGAACTCA